TTTCTCTTCCTTTGGCCTTGGGACTTCATGTGAAGTTACCAAAGGATGGTTTTAGATGTTTTTAATCTAATTTGACTTGTTGAAAGTCAAATTCCTTCCTCTTAGGGTAAAATGACCATTTTACCCTTACTCCTTCCTTCGGTAGGGTTTTCATACCCTTGTCTTTATTTTGCTTCTGCACTTTGTTCCTTCGAGTTCCGTGACCTCATGGAAGGTTATCAAGGGGTCTTAGAGGTGTGTTATGCATTGGGAGATCATTGACTTGTTTCTTGCTTCCGCATCTGGATTCGTTAACGGGTCCATCTTCGGTTTATCACTGTAGTACCGGGTTGAATCAAAACCCAGGTCGTTACATAAAGAATGAGTTAGTTCAAGCTTGTTTAAGCTTTGACAGAACTCATCACTTGTGCTCGAAATGTTAAGACCATGCATATCAATTATATGATTCATATTGGTTAACTATTAAGGTATAAGAAGCATTCATTACCGTGAGTTGGCAAAGGACATTAGGACCCCTGAATGCGTGTCGTGAAAAATTATATTTTTGGCTAAGTATGAAAAATGGCTAAGTGTGAAAAATGAATTTTTGAAATAATGATTATTTCAAAATAATTTTTCCCGGTAATAACTCTTTATACTTCAAATAGCTTAAACTGATTTTATGGGATTTTTTCATCCATTTTACATTGGTTTACATAAGGATTCATTTTTACTAAAATTGTCGGAAATCTAAATTTGTACTAAAACTGAATTTCTACATTTTGATTTAATTGGATTTCAATTTTCTTATATTTTTTATTAAATCCAAATGGATGATACTTTCTTATTTATATTGTAAACTTAAAGTAAATGTATACTTAAATATTTTTCAATGAAAATAAGGTGTATGCAGAAGTCTTGTACAAAAACTGTCCACTTAAACTATTTGAAACACTGTCCCCAAAATCTAATGACCATGTAACCAGTTAGGAAATTCTTTGTAACTGAGTAGATGCACTAAGGCAGAAAAAGACTCATTCCAATAATGATTGATGTAACCGATTAGGAAGAAGTTTGTAACCGAGTACTTAGCTTGATGTAACCGGTTAGGTCATACTATGTAACCGATCAGTTGTACTAACCAAAAGAATGACCTCAAATCACTTCCATTCAAGTAACCAGTTAGGAATATCCTTGTAATCGGTTAGATGAGATCTGAATCTCATCTACTCGAGTAGTTTATGTCTTGTAACCAGTTAGATGTATGGGCAGAAGCTTCCCAACGGCTATTTTGACTATTTGACATCATGGGAACTTACCATAATGCCCCTAAACGGCTATATTCTTCTAAGGGCCTATAAATACACAATGTAAGGACATTGTGGGCATGCAAGGGAGCCAGCACTTGAGAGACCTCATTAGGCATCAAAGAGAGCTTTTGTTCTCACATTTTTTCCTCATCTCTCTTATTCTTTCGTATACTAATCTTGAGAGATTCTAGTAAGGATTCAAAGGGCTTTTGTTCTTACTTGAATCTTCATAGAGTTTTGCCTCTATTATACACTTGAGAGATTCTATTGAATTCATAAGAGCTTATATTCTTCACATATTTCATCTTCTCTCATTCATATCATTCATAGAGTTTGAGTTTCATTGATATTCATATATACTCTAGTTGAGATCTAAATTTGTACATCAATCTTTGAGAGATATTTCTTGTACTTCATTGTTCTTATTACCATCAATTGTAAGGGGTTGGTTTGACCCACCGGATTGGTGTGACCCAAAGGAAGACTAAGGGAAGGTTGTTCTCTTAGTAAAGAGTTGCTTCATGTAAAGGTTTACTCTCCACCTGTAAGGAAAAGCCATAGTGGATTGGGAAGTCTCAAGAGGGGTCTTGAGTCGAGGAGTAGGAGTTTCCAAACCTCGCTAAAATCGCCGAGTCATTGTTTGCAATTTCTCTTCCTTTATCTCTTTTACAATTGTGTTATTAATTGTTTACTTTCATATCTTGAATATTTCATAATTGTTTAAGTGGTTGATTAGAAATTGTAAATCTATAAATTGCGAAAATTGGCCATTGACTCTATTCACCCCCTCACCCCTCTAGAGTCAATCCTTGGGCAACACGAACATATATGAGACTACACGAGCTCATATTTACGAGCCTAGGCGAGCTAATACTAATACTGTTCAAGATCAACTCGTTTATCAAAGCCTTAAAATTGACCTCTAACTCGGCCTATTTGTATAATAAACGAGTCAAAGTTGAGCCTTAGTCGAGCTAAGGAATAACTTGGTTCATTTGCAGCACTATATGCTACTATTCAACATATTTCCATCTTGGTTACGAGAGATTTTGGTATTACTACAAGGAAAATGTTATAATATTTTGGCCTAGTCTATATTACTACATGTGTTTTAGATGAACACCAATAAATAAATAGATGAATAATTGCATGAGAATACACTAATCGACATTCATAAGATAACTTATAAAGCGCATAATTCAAACAATGATTAAATATTCATTCTTTAGTCCATCAAACAAAAATAATTTTTCATATTTATTATCTTTGATTATCATATGTCACCTCATTTTTAATAAAATTGACCTTGTTCTTTTTTCATCATATGGAGTTAATACACAAACAACTTAATTAATTAATAAAATGTGTTATATATTGTACTCCAAAAACTAATAAAATAGAGAGTTTTTATAAAGTGTCATGAGTTACTCATCAAACACAATCGAAAAAATTGGTCTCCAGATATAGTAAACTCTACCCTTACCCTCTCTCATTCACAACGCTCTATTGAAAAAGATTTGAGTATTTTTTTCTTAGTTAGTACTTACACACCCATATTTTCACTGAGGCTTGAACCATTAACCTCCATTAGAAGAGTATTTTACAAATAAAGAGATAGAAAGAACAAAGTTTTTGAAGATTCTTTTGGATTTTAATAAGATTTATTGTCAATAGTAAATTAAAAGGCATGGACACAAATACAAAATACAGACTCAATACCACACGAATACGCCAACACGTCGAGTTCTAAAAAAGTAAGACACAACATGGACACGATTAATATATATATATATGTATATATATATATATATTAAGACAATTATAGAACTTTAATTATAATTTATAATTTATAATTTCTATACTAAAGTTATTACATATTAAGAGATAAAAAATATAGAAGAGAAAGCTAAAACTTATTACATTTAAATAAAATAATAGAAAGTTGGTTTAACATATATTAAAATATATATTTAAATATGCAAATGGTTACTTTTTGTAACTAATATACATCCTGTGAATTGAAGTATGGAATGAGAGCATGATCTATTAAATATTGGGTTTATTTATTAACGGGCTAGTGCCCCAGCGATACTAGACCCATATTTTCTAAAAGGAGGTAATACCGTAATAGTTTGAGCATCAATGGAGGCGGTGTGTGAGTGAATTTTTTTACCTTCCAAAAAAAGAAAAAAATCAGGTTCATTTGGTTAAGTAAGGCCTACAACATGTAATCTCATTTCTGATCAAAGGATAAATAGAAGATGGGAAAAATTACACACTAGTATAGTTAGAAATCGAAAATAGCAAAATGGTTTATTTTAAAAGTTTAAACTTTAATTTTATTGAATTAAACAAAATAATTACAAAAGTATCAAGAATTATTATTGAAATCCAAAATACCTTCGAAGCTCTTATTACAAATACTAAATTATTCTTCTTAAAATCATATAATTAAAAAAACCAAAATAGAAAGTTGAGAACCAATTTGAACTAGTAAATATGGGAGAGTGGAACTATCTCCTTAATTAAGTGTGGCGGTGTTGCCCGAGTAGTAAAAACCATACCTAAAGTGCCCCCACCCTATTGATCCTATGTTCGATTTCCCCCTCCTCCAATTAACTACTAACAGATAGGCTAAAATAAAAATAAAAAAATTAAAAAAATTATCTCCTTAATTATTTAATAAAATTCAGGTATATATAGTAACATTAATCTTGTCTCAATATATATTTTTAAGTATATATACAACATATATAGATTATAAGAGAGCAATATCAATTTGTCACATGAACATAATTCAATAGATAGAATCACACGGGTAGTATTCTTTTCAAGTATATCAGTCACAGCTTTGATCACACGGTTAAATATGTGGCCGGAATCACCCATTGGACAAGGCACCATTACTTGAAGTCTACCAAACTACCACTGCCACCGAATTGACCCAAGCCATTTTCAAACACCTCCACCCAATTATGAAGATTAAGCCTGACTAAACAAAGTGGTGGCTATGGTGACAGTACCTGCACCTGTTTTATGGCGTTTGAGTGGCAGCGCAGAGGATGGAGAGCTCACTTTTGGTAGGATGGGAAGAGTTTTAAGAATGATATTTTGGTATTTTTAAAGGCATTTTACACCTCAACAATAATTTTTAATACATTTTTAATTATTTTGTTTAATTCAATCAATTTGAAAAATAAACTTTTAAAATAGACCAATTCCAATCTCTACCTAAGCCGATTTTCGTACACACATATTTATGTAATGTGCATAAGTTGAACTCTCTTCTTCTTCTTATATATATATATATATCCAACATTAAGTCATCTCATTTATGATCAGAAAATAAATAGAAGATAAATGTAAACCAATTTCACATTACACATATTTATGTACATATGTAAAAAAAAAAATTCATAATTGGTATTGTTGTATAGCAAAAGAATAAAATGATTAAATACAGATGCACAAAAGGCATACCCTCAGTCAGAGAGGAAAATAAAAAAGTCTAACTCTCATTGATCGTATAGCTCATATAATTTCACATCACACATATTGATCGTAAACTAAAAATTTTCTACAATTTCTTTTAGCGTTTCGTACACACATATTTATGTAATGTGCATAAAGTTGAACTCTCTTCTTCTTCTTATCTATATATATATATATATATATATATATATATATTTATCCAACATTAAGTCATCTCATTTATGATCAGAAAATAAATAGAAGATAAATGTAAACCAATTTCACATCACACATATTTATGTACATATGTAAAAAAAAAAAATTCATAATTGGTATTGTTGTATAGCAAAAGAATAAAACGATTAAATACAGATGCACAGAAGGCATACCCTCAGTCAGAAAGGAAAATAAAAAAGTCTAACTCTCATTGATCGTATCGCTCATATAATTTCACATCACAAATATTGATCGTAAACTAAAAATTTTCTACAATTTCTTTTTGCCTTCCCACCTGGCTTTTGGGTTAAAAAGTGGCAAGTTGTAGCAACATTCAAAACCTTGTTACATTAATAGTTTCTAATAAGTGCAATAGTACTCATACAAATGATGTACATATTTTTTGTAGTTAGAGTGGAAAAGAAGAATCAAGTGAAAAAGGTAGATGAAGAATGGGCAATCAAGGACGAACTGAGAAATTTCTCAAGTATGAATGCTTAAGTGCATCAGAGGCAGTAATCCTTCTACGGGGATCCAAGCAGAGCATTTTCTGCAAAACAATAGCCAAAGTAGACATATAAAATTTAGATTTTATATATTCTGTCACTCTCAAAATGCCATTTTAAAACTAGAAAGCTTAATTTAATGTGAGTGGTGATCAGATGGACTTGCTAGGCCACGGTCGGAACTTACAGAAAGCAGATCCAATCCAGCAGGTTCAAGTCCAGCGACCTCATCTCCAAGGTTTCGTGTGACATGGGGGAACTGTTGGTAGAAGAGAAACAAGGTGACAGGAAGATCAAGAGACAAAACAAGCTCAAAATCCCTATTACCGTTAGCAATGTAGCGACGTAATGAAGTCACTCCAGGCCAGGTTGCTTCATCATTTGGCACACCAATAAGCTTCATACAGGAATGCAGATGTAAATATGACTTATTAACTTGAGATGGAAAATGCACATAAATTCGGTTTGTGTGAGCTATATTAGCACCCGAATTTGTCCATGAATACAGTGCTCTCACTAGTTGCACAGAAAAGAGGTCGAAGGGTCACCATCTCAGCAAATATACACCCCACAGACCATACATCAACGGGAGTGGAGTAATTGGAGCCAAGCAGGACTTCGGGTGCCTTGTATCCTAGAGTTGCTACCTGGAGTGCACTTCAAAAGTACGAAAATCATAGACAATGTGATAAACAAGTTGACTGATGCTTGAAAGTTCCCTTGTAAAAGAATACAAAAGTGATCAAATCATGGTATTCTAAAAGATGTATTGATAAGTTTTGTATAAAAAGATAATCCTGCCCTAATCACAACCGCTAGAGTGTGTTCGCTCAGTTTACTCTTATCATCCAAACAACATTGAGAAAGAATGACACTAATTACAGGAAATTACAATTAGAATGACACTTTTCCAACTACCATGGATTTAGAAAACTTAGGACACCTAGAGGAGAACTTCCCAAATTTCTCTGAGTGACTGCACCCACAGTCAGGACTCAGGAGAATAACCATTTTTTATTCAACTAGTTATACAATAGTAAAGTATGAATGTTTTACAAGGATCATAAACACATTTGTTTTCTAAGAGGAAGTGGAATTACTCCACTCCGCCAACCCATTCAGCTTGATCTCAACTTCCAGGGCAACATTCAGGAAGAATAATAATTTTTCAGTAAAATTTACAGCTTTTCTTGCTAAAATCAGTATAAGAAAAAACACTTTTTGGTATGCAGGTAACATCTAGATGCCCATGAAGGAAAAATCTCAACATCACTCAAAAATACCAAGCCAGCATTAAGGAAAATAGAACATAACAAATTTCATAAACATGATTTCTTATTACGACGCATAATGTCCAAATGCCCTCTAAGGAGCAATCTAGAAATTGCTATCAGTTCCCCATCCCACATTAAAAAGAAAGGCATATCTAAATGTGTCCTAAATTGACAGTATTCAAATTGCCCAATTTTCAAGCCTGCATATCCCCGTGGCAAGTGAAAATTTGTTACCAAAACAATCAAGTATACAAAAGGAAAAATACCAGGATAATAGAAATGATCAGCGACATACATTGCCAGTGTAGGTCCTAAGAGAAACACCAAATGCCCTTTCCAATCCAAAGTCAGCAATCTTCATGACCTTGCTGTCGATATCTATCAGCAAATTCTTAGGTTTCAAATCCCGATGAGTATTTTAAGAGAATGACAATAAGCAACACCACAGAGAATCTGATAGAGAAACCGCTGCAGAAGAATTATGTTCAAATGTAATTGTCATTGGCATCTCAACTAGCTATCCAAAGTAACTGCAGACAAACAATACGAAACTGCAACTAAAAATAAATAAATTTTTTTTCTATATAATAAAACAAATAAATAAACAGTAACAAAGAAGAAAGATAAACAAGGAGTATTTGGAAAACCGTATGGAGTTTCAGTAAGTGTTCTTCGTTCTAAGTAAGAGACATAAGTCACCCATTTACAGAAACACAAGCAGAAGGTTCTCGCCCACCTTTATTATTTGTCAATCCTTTGCAACCTCAGGATAAGATGCAATGAACTTCGACAGGTCAAGGTCCAGACACTCAAAAATGAGAACCACGCCCGACCCATTGTTTATAACATCAAGTAACCTTTTTCCAAAGTTCCACACACACACATATATACATATTTTTATAGAAATTCACAAAATTAGTATTGTTTACATGTTGTCAGAAGTTCAAGAAATTAAGAAAATTAATAGAAAATATAGCAGATAAATCAAACATAAGAGATTTACGACTATCGTAACGAATAAAATTGTAATTATATTAAATAAGTAAGGGCCTTTTTGAACTGAGGTTGCTCTATACTCATGAGACAATCAAATTCTACATACATACATCAACCAGAATAATAATCAAAAGACAATGGAAAGTTAGCCCTCCTTAATATATTCATTTTGGTACTAGTATTTTAGAAGCGTGATATAGTATAAAATCCCACAAAGAAATCCAGCAATGTATGCCTCAGTTGGAAATATAAATCATTGTAGAAACATTATTCCACAGATTATATTATTATTATTTTTCCGATAAGCCATGCAAGTCCCACATGAATTAAATGGCCACACTGAGTTCTAGATACTAGATATCATTCCTAGGAATACATCCATCACCTCAGATAGAACCATTACAAGGGAAGAGATAGAGAGAGAGGAGTAATCTAAAACATAATGTCATAAAAATTGCTTGTTACTTTATGGACAGGTTAGTAATGATTATAACGAAAAGTGATGAAGCCTTCCATTTTCTAAAATGACACAATTCAAGATTTATAAGTTTCCAATTCTAAGTTCTATAGAGACACAATGGAACCATTCTCCCCCTGTGAGTTTTGATTTTGCCTTTGAGAAATGTGATTAATTCACCAAACATGGGGCTCATAATAACAGCACACACATACACATTCAAAATGTTCCAAGAGAAGAAGAGAGAAACAAAAAGTTGCAACATTTATCCAAGGACTAAAAAGTGGCAACATTTAATGCCATCTCTCGCTATGCTGAAAGGAAAACAAGAACAGTTCCTGTAGGCTAACTGCAAGCTTCAAAAGGTAATAATTAATGGAACGTGAATAAAAAGAAGGAAAATGACAAAGACCACAAAAGAAAATTTGTGATCTATATCAGAATGACGTGGCTATTCCACATCGGTATTTTAAGAGCAATTTGTTTATTTATTTATTATATGGATAAAACAATTCTCGGATGGTAATAAAAAATCATCCTATAAGATAAGAACAATAGTGAGGTTTTGATGAATTTGTCCAATCGTAGATGGATCCTGGTCTCCATCATCATCATCATTATTATCCAAATCCCATATGAATTCTCTTTCTCCATTCTTTCTATTACAAGCCATCTCTCCTCTAATATTTAACTATTGAAACTAATTCTAATGATTTGATCTCATGTCAATTTCAGGTGCCCTCTTTGCCTCCTACCCTCTATGCAAATTAGAACCTCTTCTCACCGGTGCATAGATAGATCTTGTTGTGTATATGTCCATACCACCTAAGTCTATTCTCTCAAATCTTATCACTAATAGCTGCCACAACAAATTTCTCCTTCACATTTTGGAAAACCTAATCTTGCTACGTTTCTATCTTTGCACCATTACAGTATATTAGTGTACGTTTAGGGAGATTGGACCTCCACGAGTTTCAACATCTATATTATGCAAAGAATCAATAAGATTTGGGGGGGTGGGGGTGTGGTGGAATCTTCATGGAGGACTTTATTGCAGCAAACAAGCATTCCCTGGAACCGGATCCTGGAGGGAAGAGAAGAGGCTACATCTGGCATTTACTACGCTGGTATACTTCTTCACATACCCATATAAACGCGTGAAGCTAAACTTAAGACTACATCTATAAATTTTCGTATATTCAGCAGATGGAAGAAGTAAAAGACTAACATAGTGTGCTTCTTTCAGTCATGAACAACCAATATAGAAATTGACGTAGTTCTTATGCTAGAAGTTCAAATTGCTTCCTTCCTCTTCTATCCCTCTTTTGAGTTTTCAATTTTTATTTTACTTTTCGTTTTCATCATGTACTTTTGAGGAGGCAATGTGCCTTGCATCATGGAATACAAACAACCAGAGGGTTCAACTAGTTAACTTCCAACAATTGGTATATGGTTATACTGGAATTATGATAATTAGAAAAACATGCTTTTAAAAGATTACCAGTCTTCATCTTTCAAGGAGAAGGAAGACAACAAGAACAAAAGTTGACTTGTTACATACCTTCGGATAATAAACTGGCCCAACTGGAAGTTTTGATAGTATCCAGTCCTTGACATCATCCACTCCATGACCATATTTAGCACTCACTGGTATGACCTCATCAACATTGGTGAATTTCTCATAGCAATACAAGATATACAATGTCGAATTAGGATACAACTTAAGTACCCACCTTATGCCACCAGAGATGAGTGACCATGGATTTCTGTTATGACGAGAACAGTATTTGGGACCTATAAATTAGAGATTATAAACATAACATTCTTACAATGGAACTAATCAATCATTGGCAAAATCGCCTTGTATAATCAGCTTCGTGGTTCATCTGTAAATTGGTTTCGCGCTCATTGATAATATTACATATTGTTGACCCAAAAATCAATTTGTTTCTTGTTTGTGATCTGTAGCTCTCAAATGAAATGAAAAAATTACAACATTAGAGGCAAAACTTGAATCTGAAGATAAGGAAGCATAGTTCAAGCTTTTTCTAATCTTCAATGTCATATGGAAGAGAACCCATTTCTTGGACAGCAAATTCTGTTCTTGAAGCTAGTAAATCCAAAATGCTGTATACATTATCGCCTTCAGGGAGGGATCTATCACCAGCAACAAATGCAGTAACACGGTCCTTGACCTTAATCCAAGACCATCCGGGCTCCTTGATCACACCCTTTGACTTCATTAACTTCCTTATATCTGCTGCTTCTCGCCATTTCCCTTTGGCAGAATAGATGTTAGCTAAGGTAATATGGGTTCCCGCAGAATTTGGATCCAATTCAAGAATCCTCTCTGCAGTGCGTCTACCACACTCTACATCACCACGTAACCTACATGCTCTTAGCAGGGTTGACCAGACAACATCGTCCCGTTCAAATGGCATACTTCTGATCATGTGCTCAGCGTCACTTAATCTTCCAGCTCTACAGAGAAGATCAATCATACAGCCATAATGTTCTTTTGAAGGATTGATCTTATACTTTGTCCTCATAGAATTGAAATAGTGAAATCCAAGGTCAACAAGTCCAGCGTGGCTGCAGGCACCAAGAACTCCAATGAAGGTCACAGGGTCTGGTCTTAAACCGACCCTATGAATTTTCTCAAACAAATCAATAGCTTCTCTGCTGCACCCATGTTCAGCATATCCATTAATCATGGCTGTCCATGACACAATATCGTCATTTCCTGCCACATTAAAGATCCTTGAAGCTTCTTCAATACTTCCACATTTTGAGTACATATTGATCAAAGCACTATGTATCATAGCTGTATGTTCTAATCCAATGGACAAGACATGAGCATGGAGTTGCTTCCCTTGCTCGAGAATGGCCATATTTCCACAGACACTCAACACACTAGCGAGAGCAAACTCAGTTGGCTTTGGTCCTTCCCTTCTCATCCATGATAGGAACTCGAAAGCTTCCTCAGCATAACCTCCTTGAGCATACGCAGCAATTATAGTGCTCCATGAAACTACGTCTCTTTTGGTCATCCCATAGAACACTATTGAAGATGAATTCAACTGCCCACATTTCGAATACATGGTCATGATGGAATTTGCCACTGATAAAAAGCCCACAAGGCCTACATGTAAAACATGAGCATGCAGTTGTTCACCCCATTCAATTCTCCCAAGACTGGCACAACCAGATATGACAGCTGCAAAAGTGTATTCATTAGGATTAACTTCTGATTCTCGCATTCGCAAGAATACTTGAACAGCATGCTTCTCTTGACCCATTTGGACTAATGTGGTAATTATTGTTGTCCATGAAACCACGTCTCGCGTCCTCATGTTTTCAAATAAGCAAAAGCCATATTCAATTTTCCCACACTTGTTGTACATAGTAGCGAGAGAATTTGAAACAAACGAGGTCATATCAAAGCCTTTCTTCATTATTTGGGTGTGGATTTCCCTCCCATGATTCAAAGCACCTGTGTCGGCACACGCCTTCAGTGCAATAGCAAATGTGTACGAATCATATCCCACTCTTGCCCTTCCCATTTCAGAAAAATACATCAACCCCTCATTATTATAACCGGCACGAACAAGCCCAGTTATGATTGCAGTCCATGAAACTACATTTCTGACCGGCATTTCATTAAAGACTCTACAACCTTCCCAAATTTTGCCAGTTTTCGAATACATATCCAAAAGGGAACTCCCCACAAAAACAGAGTTCACCAAACCAGATTTTACGGAGTACCCATGTAGTAATTCTCCGTGTTTCACATTGAAGTCAAGTCCACATGCTTTAAGCGCTAGACTAAGTACGAAGGGGTCCATTTGGAGAGTATGATCGACCCACATTTTCGAGAACAAAGCCAATGCTTCTGATGAATCAGAGGCACCCACATACCCAGATATCATGGTGGTCCATGAGATTTCATCTCTGTGAGGCAATTTGTCGAACATTTGGCGAGCATCATTCAGCTGACCAGTTTTGACTAATTCCTTCAATTGAGAGTTAACTTCAAGCATATCTACTCGAGTAACATCATTGGTTTTTTGAGCTAAAAAGTCTTTGCTTTTCCCTAAAGCCAAAGACTCTCTGGATTCATTGTAAGCAATGGCTGATACTGTATATAACCGCCTCATATGAGGCCTGATTGATACAACCATGTTTATGTTAGTTTAGCAGCCATACCACAATTACAAACCTGTTCTCAACTTAGTTTGGAAAATTGGAAAGAGAAAGTAGCAAGGGAATGAAGAAGGCTGGAAATAGGGCTGCAAACAAACGGACTTTGGAGAGGTGCTCGGCCTCTGGCTCGGGCTCGGGCTCGGTTGAGTGTCATGAAGCTCGGGCTCGTTTAAATACACCCTCCAAATTTGCTTCCCAACTGTGCATGACAAGATGTATCAGATTCAACTAAAAAAACAGAGACGTATCATAGATTCAGAGAACATATTTATATTAAGATCTGCAACTAGAGAATTTTCCATAGAAGGCAGCCAAGAACCAGCATCTGCGATTTTTTTTTTCTTCTTTGCAAAAAAATCAATATTCTCAACTAGTAGAATGAATTCCAGACAAGGGCGGATCCAGGATTTCTCAATGGGGTGGACTAAATAAAAATATGTCAACCAAAATCAACTGTTGTTTTATTCAATTTTAGTTAATTAACAATGTTTCTTTAGACAATTGACTGATTAAGGCATAGAAAATCCTATTTGGGTAATTAATAAAAAAAATTACCAATTTATTTCTGAACAATTCACCACTCAAATACCCTATCTCTTCTTTTGACCAATTTACTAATCCTATTTGAGAATCTACTAGGTGGAAGAAGAGTGTGAGGTAGTTCATGGCAAGCCCCTTCCAACACTATGGAATTCACTCAAAAGCATGCTTTTTGTAAGTATTTTAATTTTCAAGAAGTAACTTTAGAGCTTTACCTAAGATTAAGTACTTTTGCTTGTCAAAGTTCTTGTTATGATTTTTTTTTTTTAGTTCTGAAAAGATTTCCATCTTCAAAAAGCTTGGCATGTTGATAAAATTGTTTCAGATTCAATCTCTGCAGATTTCTATCCAATTCAGATTCTTTTCTTTTTTCTTTTTTCATGCCCGGATTCAAATTTTCTTGTAGACATAATTTACAAAAAGAAAAAAAGAAAAAAAAGAAAAGAAGAAGAAGTTGTAGAAATAAAATGTAGATTAAAATTCACCAAATAGGATTTAGTTTGCAAAACAATAAATTACAGACCTTGATTAGTTGATTTAGAAAAAAAATTTAAAACAAAACCCATACATACAATTTAGCAGTTGAAGAGAGAGAGGGGGCAAGCTTGAGAGTTGAGAGACAGCGGGCCAGCGGCTGAAGCTTGCGAACGGCGAACCCGAACTGGAACAGTGGGCGATGGAAACTGAAGATATGGGTTTTGATTTTTTGACCAATCTGAAATGATATGGGTTTTGTTATAGGTAATAGGTTTTGAACTTTTGATTCTTGCAGACAGATATATAAACTGGGTTTTGAACTTCTGATTCTCGTAGATTTTGTAGTTTGCAGTTGCAGAGGGAGAGAGAGAGGGCAAGTTCAGAGTTGAGAACGAGAAAAGAGACGGAGGCGATTGGGGAGGCTGAAATGAAATGGCCCTTAAAAATTTCTTTTTTTTCTGGTGGCCCATCATCCATCGGCCTACAAATTTTGAGGGCCTAGGCGATCGCCTTTGTCGCCTTGGGTCAGGGCCAGACCTGGACTTATTTGACTTGGGCCTTTATTTTAGTATGGAGTATGAGTTGACTTGGGCTTGATTTGTGGGCTAATTTGGAGTGGGCTAACACTATTAATAAATTTTTTTTCTTTAGGTTGGGTTAAAATTAGTATAATAAATATAATTTTTTTTTTTTTTTTTTGGGGTGGGCTTACATCCGCCCTTGAAAAAAGTCTCACGTCGTGCACAATACAACAGATGTTGAAACTAAATTAGACCCATTAGTTGGTAATTGTGTTTGATGTGGTAATTGGTATGTCTACTTGGGATTATTGCTTCTCGCGCCTATGTCCTGGGTAGTTAGGTAGTTGCTAGTCTGGATTGGGCCTGGCCTTGACCTGTTCTTGTTTTTTTAGTGTTGCCTTCTTTGGGCTCCCTATATACCCTTTGGGCCTCCGGCCTTTTTTGTTATAGGTCTCTGGGATGCAATACTTTAATGGGCTTAGTCCTATGAAAAATCTCATAGAACACAAATATATATATATATAGGCAATACTTTAATGGGCTTAGTCCTATGAAAAATCTCATAGAACACAAATATATATATATATATATATATATATATATTATAGCATATATTTATTATTTATCTATATAATCATGAATGAAATAATTAAATTTGGAGGTTAGAATTAGATATTTGTTACTTTTGTTTTTTTTAAATTTGTTTTATTTTTTAATTAACTCATTATATATTTTAAATTACATTGAATCACTTTCTTATTAAAAAAAAAAAAATTCATCCCGTAGTTTTCTAAAAGTATTCAAAACATACTTTCACCGTTTTTAACCAGAAAATAAAAAAATTAAATTTAAAAATACTTCTAATCATGTCTGACCGTCAAATACTGTATTGTATGTTCTTTCTAACTTCTCTGTCCCACTATTTGTGTGTGTGTGTGTGTGAGAGAGAGAGAGAGAGAGAGAGGGAGGGAGGGGGGCACAGTCTGGCTAGTTATCCTAATTACACAACTTATGGCTCCATCATGCCCCTTCATGGGGACCTCAAAAAATTGAGAAACTTCTGTGAACTTAATCAGTTTGCAACAACCCAACATAAAATAAATCAACAAGACCAATCAAAGCTTTAAACAGAGAGTGCCAAAACAAATCATCGACTGTTCTCTGTGGCCCTTTGGTGTCAAAGCCCTAAAAATAGTTTTAAACAGCTATTTTTTAACCAAATAAAAAGTAAGCAATATGTCACATTTAATTAATGTTGCCATTTTATTTCAATCTTTTAGCATATGCAATTGAATAAAGCTTATATCAACACAAAATATATGGATTTTTCAAACTCCAAAACCACCCATCATCAAAAGGGAATGTTTGTGCATGCGTTCGTACATGTGAGAAGAACAGAAAGACATACACAAGAGTCGCATATCCATCATCCATAACATGTCCGGACTTGAACTCTTAACATCTCCTTTACTAAGCCGGTAGCTAAGCATTGTCAATGCCTAGCCAAATCAACAATTTTTCTTTTTTATGTCATTGCCATTCGTTAATATTTCTTTTGTCTCTCTGACTCTAGTATTGTTGATACTTAAGCCTATTTCTCAGGCTGAATAGTCTGATCTAATTAATTACTATTGACCATCAGATCTCTTAAAGTAGATCCTACTAAAGACCTATTTTAATGAATCTAAAAATTATAATTGGATCAAATTATTAGACCTAACTGAATCGATATTTAATGTGTTGGTTTATTCGAATCATACATACACAATACATAATGTTGTGATGAGCCCATACATAAAATATCGAAAAAATCTTTAAAAATCATTTAACTCTCAATCGAATTAAATGTTAAATTGTGTTGGTAGGTTGGCACATTCATTCCAATGGTTGTGATGAAACCTATAGTTAAATTGGGTTGGTAGGTTGGCACATTCATTCCAATTATATGGCATCAATTTAAATCTACGGCTGAAAGTGATAGGATAATAATTAAAGAATTACCCCTATTGTTTTGGAAGCCATTGGACATAAATGCTCAACTGCCACATTCCAATGTAAATATTTTGACTTCACTTTAAATATTAAATACCAATATGCTTTATTGCGTTATTTTATTTATTTATTTATTTTTGAAACTTCTTGTAGGGGGCTTCTTCAACCTTAACATAATTAGTGAAATTATTAATTTTGAAATGAGATGTGACATGAATTGATTCTAGGTTAGGCAGAGATCAATGTTAAAAGTATGGCGTGGGTTTGACTTGAGACCTAAATTTTGTGTTCATTTGTGTGGGTGATCTTCAATTTCAATATAAATATACTATTAAATCATTGCTCATAGCCAAATAGCATCATTTAAAGGGTGATAAACATGTGCCTACTTTTTTAATCCACGTGAAATGTTCCATCTGAAGTGGACACTTGGTAGATCAAAAATTGATGATCCACTGAAATCTTTTTCAATCATTTCATACTAAATCTTACACCATTAGTGATCTTTATCATTTCTTAGATGACAAATAATTTAAAGTTCGACATTCGAACATGATAATCATTTTAATCCTATCTATTATCATACTCCTTATTAGTACTTTTTTTTAAAAAAATTTACAAACGGGCACGATAGTACAATTCCGGCGCCACCTCTTTTCGTAGTTGAAGGGCCATCAAAAGCAAAGTGCCACTCTTCGTTGCCCTCTTGCCTTATTTGTGACATGGGCTTCATCCATTATTAGGATTAATTGCAGGTTTGTTAGAACTTTATAATGGAGATCAAAGTTCTGATACCAATTGTTAGATCAAGAAAAGGAGTGAATTAGTCAAATTAATCTTTCTCTTACTGCAAACCCGAAAAATACGAAAATATCATAAATAATTTGATAATAATCGAACACAGAATACAAAATAAATAAAATAAATAATGAACTTCTTGCTACAGTTGCCATCTCACCTCAAACAAAGAGAACAGTTATAACATCATACTCGTTATAGAATTCTATTTGTTTTGGCATTAATTGATTAATCTTGAACAACACAAATCAAAAAAAAAAAAAATGTCATTATGTTACTTAGTGTTGATGAGTTGAAAATTGAATCTTTGATTGGTACAAGATTTTATATAACATTCGTTTTATGAGGGAATAAAAATGAAACAAACTTTATCAAACAACCAACCTTTTATGCACGCGTTTAAGGAGACTCTTGGCACTTGCACATGCTCTGTTGGCTTATTTAGACGGTCTTGCACATCGCGTTTGTCATACTATTTGATCAATGTCAAAGATTATGGACTTATTTGGTTTGTAATTTTGAAAACAGTTTTCAAGAATTCAGAAAATAAAAAACTATTTTCAGATAATCATAAAGGACATTTTTCTAAAAATAGACCTTCTTATAATTAAGTTTTCAGAAAATAATTTTTAAAAAACTGAACAAGTAGAGTTTTTTTTATTATTATTTATATTTATAAAAAATTGCTTACAGAGTTGCGAACTGACCCTAAATATCTAATAGTACAACCGAGAATTCTAATAAATAATATATTCATATTATTCTTACTAAAACGATTACTCCCTCTATCAAAAAAAAAATGTGATACTTTTCTTTTTGATCTATTCTAAAATAATTGTTCACTTTCTTTTTTCAAATAATATATTTCACATCTTTTTATAAAAATTTTAAAATTCTAAATTTGAGTTTAAAATCTTAAACTTAGGTTTAATTTCACTCACACCTCCTCAGGTTTGGCCAATTTTCATCCTCAAACATCTTTTGAAATTAACTATCACTTAGGTTCATTTATATGTTTCCGTTAAAGGATCCGTTAAATACATGAGAAAATATAATTTTGTCCTTAATTTTTAAGTCCCATTTATTCCAAAATATCAGGTTGCTTAAATGAACATTATACCCCTACACTCACCAACCACACCACCACAACATCCATCATCGTCACTGTGACTACCATAGCCGCCGCTGCCAGTCCTCTCATCTCTCCCTAACCTTTTGCCACCACCAGTCCTCTCATCTTTCTCTAACCTTCTACCACCACCCACAATTAGACTTGTCAAATGGAACGGATCCTGATCCGGATCCGATCCGATTAGTCGGATATGGATTGAACAAAAAATTCGATAACCCGGTTACGATCCGAATCCGATAATCTGTTAGCTTAACAAATCGGATATGGATTATACTGATCCAATCTGATAAAAATCCGATCCGATCCGATTGAAATTATATATATATATATATATCAATACTCCTATTAGAATTGTATTAGAGGTAACCCAAAAATTCAAAATAATAATAATAATAATGTTCTTTTTTTTTCTTTTTTTTTTCCTGGGTATAATAATAATAATACTATATATAAATATTGTGGTGTTCTCATCCATATGCGAATAAATTTTTTAGTACACATACTAATAAAATCATACTCTTTATAATTATATATGTTAGTAAATATTATTTTAATTCGATTTTGAATCCGATCCGAGTTCGAGCTAAATAGAATATAGATTGAGACATTCAGTCTGAGAACCCATTAGTGATCCATATCCGCTAATCTGTTTGCTTAACAAATTGGATATGGATATAATCAATCTGATCCAAATCCGATCCATTGACAGGCCTACCCACAATCGACACCTCCACCATTACCACCCACAATCAACACCTCCACCACTGCTCAAAACACCATACAAAACAACCATCTACACCCCTTCATCGTAGCAACTCACCTCTCATAATCACCGGAACCCTAAATCGTTAACATCACCACGACCGCGAAATTCCAAAATCATAAGAAGCAAAAACACGAAATCTCCAAATCTAAGAACAAATCATAACCAAATCGAAATTTGTAGACAAAACGAAGAACGAATTAGCCATTACCACGAAATCCCCA